TATCCAAAGTTTTAAACAAAGCATATATATTTACAGTGGCTCGACAGTTGCTGCCGAATTTATTACTTATTTTGCAAGATAGGGGAATTGAATTTTAACCCGAGATGTGTAATCTGAGTTGCTTAAAAACATCTTCACAGTCCATATATGACGATTGATTCGTTTGGAGGGTGGATTGATAGTAGGCGAAAATGGCAAGCTATCAGCGTTCATGAATAGAGCAAAATAATGTTGTACGGCCGTACAAGTTTGTGTCTCGCTGTGTGCTAAATCGCTTTGTGTGAAATCGCCTATGAAAAAAACGTAGGTTGAAATATATTCAAGAGCCTCCACTGGCTACGCCTTTGTTCATACATGCAACACCCAATCCATTAGATTATACCTACATTACCGCAATATCCTATTTGCACATAAATTCTTTCTTGCAAAAGTACATTTGCGCAAAAATCCATCCTCGCAATTACATTCTCACAAGAGTCAAACCACGTAAAGGTTCATTTTCTCAAAACTGCAGTCACGCAAAAGTTTGTTCTTGTGAACATTTACGAGCAGTTTCGTTTTGATATATTGAAATTTTTGCAAGTTGACTGCTGCCGAAAGCAATAGTCTACCTATTATGCTGCAGGGATGTATCTAACATTTGGCAACGTAGGCTGGAGCCAAGGGGGCCTCAATATTCAATTTTGAACTATTATTCATTTTTAAGGGATTTGAAATTGTGAAAGTTTGTTCCAGAATAAAACTGCTTGAAATTTTATATATATATATAACTGATATTTGTTGAGTCGTTTATATTGTGTATATATATATTTTTATGTTTATAAACAGTTATGTTGACCCTTGTTTAATGCTGTTTTGTTGGATCTGGACTCCGACCACTCACTACACGTGAGAGAAAAGCTGTGTCTTTCGCTCTTTTCTCCGACCGTCGGGCTGGAGGTCGGTCGTGTTTTTGGTTCTTAGTGATGTAATCTGTTATTCCAGTGGTTCTCAAATCTCAACCTTTTTCATTCCGCGGACCGGTAAAATTTCACAATAAAATTTGGGGACCGGCGGACCTTCAAAATTAACCAAAAATGTCATAAACACAAAACGTAAACAAAAGAATGCAATTAGGACACAAGTAGGCGTTGCAGAAAAGGACAATCCAATTTAATGAAAAATTTGCTGCTGTTTTTTTTATATATTAAACGTGTTAACGCTGTTCTAATGAAGTTTCTGCAAGGCGAAGTAGAGCTGTTTGAACTGGATAATATTTTGCTGTTTGTTTGCATCCATTTTACTATCAAAATTTTTTCAATCACGATCTCGCAATTATTTCCTCAAAATCCCGGAATTTAAGGATTTGTTATCCACATATAGACATTCTCACAAATTGTAGGTTATACCATTTTATTTAATACTTATTCAAAAAAAAAGTCATCCACGCTTACAGTTTGAGTCAGCCAGACTAAGTGGAATTATTGTGCAAAATTTTACCAAGGAATTATTATTTGATCAGTAGAATTGCCATTATCGCGACAAATTTAATCATAATTTGAACTCAAAACAGCATTCAGGATTCACGCAATGACTTTGCAGGGTTTTTAATCACTATTTAAATACGAAAATGAAACAGCCACAATAGAAAAGTAAAATCAAGAAGTCAAACTGTAACAAAAAGATCAAAGCCGACTCAAAAGATGAAAATCGGTAATCCCGAATTCAACCCGATATTCGACAATTCGTTAAAATTATTCGATTCGATGAAAATATACTATTTTGGCCACGCGATCTGTAATCATGCCAGCAATCTGGCGAAACGCGTGAAAATTGTTCATAACAACGTTAAACCTATTTAGTATTTTAGCATAATAATAAATCGTTGTAATGAAATACAGAAATACACCTTTCATTTCTCTCGCAAGTGCCGACAATAACACTATTGAATGATTTTGGAAATGGGAGAAACATATCGAATTGTGACAAAAATGAATTAAGTTGTGAAAAAATGTGACAATACTCATGCATGTGATAATAATAATGGCTTAACGTGGAACGGCGAGCAAAACCTAAGCGCGTGATCGGCGGCATGTTTGGAGGCCACATATTACCCGTGCGGCCGCGAAACGTTTACAATAATGTGAGGTGCACCGAAGACGCTTTCGTTTCCTTAGCGCAGCTCGTGTAGCATTGGCTCATGCAAGGGAAAAACTACAAAAAAAAACAAGACTCGTTTTGCAAAAATAAATACTAGTTGAGAACCAGTGGCCTAGCCGATAGCAAGAAATTTTCATAATCTTTGTTTTGCAGTTATTTTGAATAAAAACGTGTTATTTATAAGTGAATGGATATTTGAAAATCCCGTAATTCAGTACTTTGTAATTTTGTTTTCGATAAGTGTAAATATAAGACATCCCTCGAAAATAAGCCCTAGTGCAGTGGTTTCCAAACTTTTTAATATCGTTCCCCCTAAATTGAATTACCAAAAACTCAATTACTCCTTTCATAAAAATACAGTAGTCATATCGTTATTACTTTTTTGATCAAAGACTTGCTTGAAGATGCTGAACGTGCGCTACATCAGCATTTTAGCCTACAGTCTGTACGACAAAGTATTGTTAATACGTCCTTACGAAGTGCGTGACTAGACGACTAGGTTCATTTACCAGATGCGAGCATTGCATGACCAGCTTTTGAGCAGACTAGTCAAAAGTATGGGGATTACGGAAGAAATTGTTGAAACGGTGAACGTCTGGATTCCCCATTACAAATTACCCCTTTGGGAGTAATCAACCCCCGTTTGGGAACCACTGCCCTAGCGTTATTTTCGGAAACAAATTAAAATAAGACCCAGTATTGTTTTCCGGGGAACACGCTAGTTGCGATAGTGTGCTATATATCATGCCCTGATGAAGTTTTTCTGAATAGAAATTCAAAACGAAGACAAATTACATCGTTTTGCTGCACACCGGTTGTGCTTTATTTATCTTCGACGTAAAAGGAGAATGCAAGATGAATCATGATATGTTTAACCGAAACATGACGAATCGTATCGTGTTTTCCCGAAAATAAGACCTAGCTTGAAATTTATGAATGTTTTTAATACAAGCCCTAATATAAAATAAGACCTAGTCAATAACGCGGATTTTTTGACTTTGTCGATAAAAAGAAATCTCTCTTAAACGTTTTGAATGATTGATAATCTATGTTTTGCAGCTATTTTGAATAAAAACGTGGTATTTATAAGTAAATGGATATCGATTTTCTTATTTTGTGGATTTGAAAATCTCGTAATTCTCTACTTGATAATTTTGTTTTTTATAAATGAAAACATAAGACATCCCCCGAAAATAATGCCCTAGTGTTATTTTTCGGAAAAAAATTAAATAAGACCCAGTTTTCCCAGACCCGGGAAATCCTATTCCTGACATACACTGGTAACTGGGCGAGGTTTGCTATATGGTTAAGTCAGCTTCCCTCTTCCAAGGATGAATATATAAACTCTATCCTAATCATTTCCGTCGCCATCACTGCACGGCGATAGAATTATGTACGATGTCACGCGCCTGCCTCTTTGGGGCGGGCTATGGAAAAACCAAGTCTTTTTGATTGTTCAATTGCCTGGAGCGTCTAGTATTCTCAGCTAAAAAGTGTGATGCATTGTCCGGTCAAACAAGTATCAAAGATACTTTCTTCCGAAAAATAGGATAGGATTTGCATATGATGTCGACCATACCTTTCACAGATGGAGGACACGGGACAGTCTGGTTGTGGAGTCGGAGCCACCCAGCCTCTCCACGGACGCAAATTTGAATTTTTTTTTCATCAAGTTGATGAAATTTTCCTCCACCATGATCCAGGGTTGAAATTGTTTATTAAACGGCCCTGAAGTCTGGTGGAAATTGTTTTTTGATTCTGATTACCTAGCATACACTTATTGACTTTGCCTGGCCAATAGCACAGACTTGATCACATAGAGATTTAATCAAATTCGACCGATGTCAGCTACTAATCATAATTCAAGCTGTGGTATGTCAAAGAACAACAACGAGTTTTTTTGAAGAAATTATTATGAGAAAAATAGTAAGTTTCTCATCATTTGCCATCTGCTCAGCTAATTACAAAAGAGACAGAGACACCTAAGCATTTGAAAACCAATTTTTGCGAAATCAAAAACAATTACAAAAGTGAGCAAGCTTACATGCCTAGTTCATACTAGATTCCAGATAGTAAACAATCATCATGTCTATTAATACACAATGAATAAAGCCATCCAGGTACTACATAAGCAAACCCATCAACAGCTCGTGATGCACAAAAATTATTTTAGAATGGGTGTCATTTGTGGAAAAAATATTCACCATAGACTGCACAAAGGTCAACATACAAATTTTACAGATTATTGAATATGCTTATAATATAATACTCAAATAATATGTTAATAATGTCCACTTAGTAGAGCCAAGTTTAGATTCTGTTAAATTTAATCCAAAGGTAACAGATAAGCTTCCTGAATAGGACAATGATGCAGGATTTCATCTATACTACGTCAAAACAATTTATACAAATAGCACAGAAAATAACAGCAGGTTCGTTGAGAACTCTAGAAGTAGATCAGAATCACCAGATGAAGATATTACAAAGTAACAAGATGTCAAATTTGGCAACACTTATAACTAACTAGTGGCAAATGCAGATATCTGGAAATATATTTAAGAAAAGGCTACTCACTAGAATGTATCAAACTGAATGACCATATAGAAAGTGAGTATACCAATCAAAACTCGATGTTTTGGTTAGGTGCATACCGTATAAAATTCATAATTTGAAATCTTATTTTTTGAAACCAAAAAAGATTCGATGTTTCGTTAATTCGTTAATGTTTCGCATTTTTTGCACATAAATTTTATAAAATTTAGTTCCAGAAATCACCTAATTCCTGATATAAGTGCCGCAGGTGTAAAGATCAAAACTACACAATACCAACCAAAGATTGCAAGTTGCAACAGAAAGTTTCCTTTGGGGCAAACATTGTATTAATATGTATGACCTATGTATTTTTTTCCATAATGAAAATATAGTTTTTGACCCATGTATTAAAAAAAGTTCACCATCCCTTTCATAGAATGTAATTCATATCAATTTATTTCATTACCAGCCTGTAAGTGACTGGCAGTAACCAAAGATAGACTAGTTAATCTCTCAGAATTCATAAGGAAGGACTGCTAGGATTTCAGAAGAACTAGAATTCCACTGAACCAAATGTCTTTCGAATGTTTTAGACTAAAAGACATTTGATGAATATTATATATGTTTCATCTTAGCACAGGATAGAAAGAATTCTTTCAAACAGTCCTAATTTTCTATTAGTTCTAACATCACCGACTAAAAACTCCTTTTAATAAATATTCTTTTTTGTTGTATTGTAACCGTGTGAAATTATAGAATTCATTCCAAAATATAAATTCAGGCCATGACGGAGAAGTTCTCCAGAATTTTTCCAAAAAAGCTATCACAATTGGGTGTGGGTCTTATGGTTGTGGAAACTATAAATTTGTTCTGATACGAAGAATATTAAATCGTTAAAAAGTTCAAATCGTTATGAACATGAATGACAATCCACCAAAATAAAAATAAATCCCATTCATCATTATGAAAATTGATATGAATATGTATATTTAATTTTATAATAATAATTATAAAACCCACGACAACATCGTGTTTTTCAAGACGTTTCATCAGCTATGGTGGAGGGAGACATAAAATCATGAACGATAATCGTAGTAGAAAACAAGGCAGTTAGCAAATACAAAATGAAAATTACATGCTGCTGCAACTACTACACACAAGGATAGATAATCAGTCAGTCGTAAAATGAGAAGAAATAACGCCAACGACGAATAGTAATGGACGAGAAATTAAATCATCAACGGTCAACACGACATCCATAAATGGAAACAGTAAAATAAAAGCGACTTAAAAAATAGAGTATTTTGTAGCCTCAACAAATAATCAAAATCATTTTCACACTACTGTAGTACATTTTTACAATATTTCAAAACGTTCATGAAGGTATCAGCCAAATCATACATATAGAGTAAGTACATATTTATATTACAAGCACAACCTGTGCTCAGTAGCATAAAATACTGGATATGTGTCGACAAATTAATTTTTGAGTTGATAGCTAAGAAAGTTTTTTAAATTACAAGAAAATACTGCTTCACAGATCCTATTCGAGGTTCTATTTCTAATTACAACAGAAACAACTGGAAATTACAGTGATAAAAATAAGAAAGTAGTTTTTTTAAGTTGTAATTTCTGTTAGTTTCGAAATCTTCCAAGTTGTTTCGGAACAGCAACAAGTTTATCCAGGGATGATGGTTTACTAGTTAGTGCTTATAATTGATAAAATAGCTGTTTGAAGTTTCCTTCAGATTTGAATTATATTCCACAGATTAGCTAGGATCTTCTACCGCATCACTTCGATGAAAGAATGCGACTTGGACCCACTTGATAGCGGGGTGGCTCTAACTCTTGCGTCATTCCACCAGGAACAATAGCAAAAATTATAATACATATCAAAAAGTTCAATTCATAAATCTGAAAAAAAATAATGAGATATAAGTATTAAAATATAAATACTGTGCATTCTAATTATTATTTATAGATTGCGCTCCAGAAGCGTGTGTACCAATATGGCGGTAACTAATTTTGTTCGCCTACTTTACATCAAGTTGTGTAAAGGGACTGAAACCTTTGGGCAGGGGGTGTATTCACCTGGCTAAAACAGACAGTCCTCGAACTAGTAATAGAACTAAAAAAAGGAAAAACGGGAATAAAATTATGGCCTAACCCTAACCTGGTACACACACTACGGGAGTACCTTATACACTTATTAACAATTAACCCAATTTAGGTACTTGCCATTAAAAAGAAACTTAAACTAAGCCTGCAGGCTGCCGGCATTGGGAGTTTTCTCATTCATTCCCACTGACCTAAATCCCAATACATCAAATACCATTAAGAACTATTCCAATTAGTACTATGTATCAGCAGTAGAAAAATTACTTTTGTTTTGGGGGGATACGCAACATGTCATGATTTGAGAAAATATAAGCCACCGGAATGAAAAAACTTGATAGAATATCAGCTACTGAAATGAATAAACCTTAGTAAATACTAGCTTTTAAAGTTGATCCCCGACATAGATTAAATTGATTGGAACCTTTGAAACTTTTAGAAACCATCTCTCAGGTAGAGAGGTGTGGAAAGTTAGGAATAGGTCTGAAGCATGAATTGAATAGTCAGCCAACTGACATCAGTCAACAATGGCAAACAGTGTATGTTTCAGTCGTCATTTATTCATTCAGTGTCTACACATGGCAATAGTAAATGAATTGTTGTATACTGTAGATTCATTTCGATTTTCTTCATTTTATGAGTCAATGTTTGTGACCTTGCATCGAGCAAACCATGTTGTCATTCAATAAATTCAATTCATTTAGTATTCTACAGGTAATGGTTTACTAGCTCTCTCAGACAGCTCCCAAAACAAAAAATACACAAAGATACTTCCTTGTCATCTCCCACACATTCAATCATTAGTGTACAGCTTGAACAACTTATCACTGCATTGTTTCAAATATGGTACTTTTGCTATTGTTTTTTTTAACTGTGCAATACAATACCAAAGTATGAACGAGGCAAGAGAGACTTATTAATTTAGAATATAATATGTTACATAGGAAGTGTCCAAAGATGTTGATGACTTTACAAATCAAATGACATAATAAAAAAAAAATTTAAGTTGAAATACAGGCAGTTTCAACATATGAATATTTAAGATTTATCATAGTTGTTGATATCTGTTATTTACTACCAAAGTATAATTTAAAATATGTCCCAATCCAAACTCCTTTTCTTTCGGTATATTTTATTTTTCAATTTCAATAAAGACACAATTATTTTAGTTTTTGACTCAATTTTAAATTGCATTCACATATCATTGACAAAATGTAAAATTTTTAGATATTTTGAATATTTCCAGATGCAACAAATTTTTTTTACACAGTTATGAAAAATGTGTAGTAATGGATATGGTAGTTTACCTCAATTATGAGTCCTCAGAAGCAGTTTTACCAGTGTAGACTTCTTTAAAAACGCTTTCAATGAGGAATCGCCTAAAACGAAAATAAACCATGAACGAAAAATAAAGTTTCCAGAAAGATGACTTGATAGCTTTGATATTAGAAACATATTAATAAGGTGATTTCATAAAGATTCCAAATATCCCAATAACGCGGAAGTTGGGAATTTTCATTCTGTAAAATGCATTGTACTCTCCAAGTCATATATCTAAGGCTAGTGTTCATTCTCCAAATTTGTTTGCTTCAAAGTTTTGGATTGGTTTTAACATGTCAAATCCAGAATATTGATGACATTAACCTAGAACAAATGATGTCCATAACAATTGAGACACTTGTTTCCCGAAATTGTGGATATGTGTCAAATTCAAGAATTAAAATTGGACACAGATCATGATGTCATCAACCATTATTGATATATATTGATATTATTGATATTTCTGACAAAAAGCTATCAAACAACCTAAATTCAAATGATAAGACTGATTCAATTGTATGCTTTCACAACTGAATGTTTCAACAAAGTTTCCTTCGCACTTGCCTGGTTTTATACGATGACATTACAAAATAATTTTTTAAGAGACCACAACTGGTAATAGATTTTTCTCATATAAAGCGAACTAACCCAGGGTTATTTATTACAGTCAATACAGCACAGGGAAGTAAATGTGCCAGAACAGCGAAAGAAACCAACGTACACAAACTGAGTTCTATGACGTAATGTTGACTTATGTTGCGCTACAATGGTGAGGGCAATCAATGGTATGACGGTCACCAATAAGCAGGGAATAAAGGTGCAGTATTGAGAAATCTACATCTAAAAATTTGCTACGTCATTATAGTAACTGATCAAAACAATGTCAATGCATCACTTTATTTTTATAGTACTATTGTGACATCATAATACACAAAATAACTGTATATAAAAGATATTTACACATTTTAGATGTCTATTCGAAAACATATAACAGACAATGAATAGAAAATGAAAAATCAGCTATTCACTAATGAGATATCATATTATTAGCTCAAAAACATATCCAGGATAGATAATTTTACTGAATTGCAAATCGCAAGTGATTAAATGACAAAACAATTACTTTTAATTACATTTGACCGACAGATCTAATACATAAAAATTGTTTCTCTTAGGATATACACAACTATGACAGCAATTCAGGAGTACAAGCCAAAGAATAGTACACTTCCAGTTACCTTATCACAAATTTCAATGAGTGACTTAAGAGTACTAAAATACTGTTTATTGATTCCACAATAGGTGAACAGGTTCAAAATGCTTATCCAAGTGAAAATATATTAAATGAAGGTTTAAAAGAAGGGATAATCAGTAATCTAAAACAAATTGAAAACAAATGAATTTCTATTGACCGCACATGACATGGTCGACAAAAATAATACTATGAGAGATGGTCGACAAAAATAATACTATGAGAGATTCCATCAATATCGAAATAGATAAGTAGTTCAAGGTTCAATAACAAGGTTCCTAATTAGATATATTAATTTACAATACAAGGAGGGTTTCTATTTAGAGTTAGACTGACTGTGATTTAAAATTATACATGATAACAAAGACCGTTTTCTTTACCCTAAACAATTATTTTCAAGATATGAGAGGTCTCACTAATTTTTGTTGCTTGTGTTGTTTGTCAGATTACTAAATATTTGAAATATATATTTGCAAAGAAAAAATTATTAATTTTATCTTTTGGTTAATATAATTAACCAAAAGATTAATATTATATAAACATATGTGTATAGAGAAAAACAAAAGACAAAACAAAGATTAGTCTTAAGAGATTTAGAAATCAAATAACAAAAACTTACTTTGCATATACACCTCCACCTGGGGGAAGATTTTTGATTTCATGTTGACGATTTGCTACTGTTTGCATTAATCCTCCAATTTCTAATGGTTCATCCTTCACCTCACTGCATATTTCTAAAGTAGCAAACACAAGGTAACGAATATTCACTACAAAAATCGTTATATCTGAAATCTAAAAAGTGTTTAATTAAGGAGTTATGCAAAATATGTGAAACAAATTTTAAACAAAAATTTAAGAAATCTGAATAAATTTTACTTAATTACAGGAATAGCATTTACCTACTTGTGTTTTAGATGTTTCAAAATAATGTTGGTTTCTGCTATAATACAGACATACATATATATTTTTATATTTGTGATGTAATAACATATTCGAGATCTCAGTCTCTACTTGCACCATGAGTTGCAAAGCTAAAAATAGCTGATTATGTAATGGGACTATCAATGAGGCTGTCTGCTTACTATAGATTTTAATATTGCAACAATACGAGAAGTATCATGGTAAAATAAAAATGTTAGCATGTTCGGATTGCTAAGCGTAGAACAGAATATTGTAAATGTTCTTTGTTTAAATTAGGAGGGTATGAAGTCAAATAAAATTCTACACCAAATCAAAACTTCTCTAAGCTACAAATATTCATGTATTATTAAAACAATGTAGAATAATAATACACTTGATCAAACAAGAACCTTTAACTAGGTTTTTCAATTTTTCCTCCATTTCTTCCTCTCTTTTCTTTGCTTCAGAATTGCTCTTCGGTGCCGAAGGAAATGCCAAAATTATCAATGTCATGTTATCTCGACTCCCCTGGAAAATTATAACACAATGTATGCTAGCGATGAGAAAATGAATTTGTGTATATAGCATTAAAAAATATATTTAAATATGGTAAAACTGAAAAATAAGTTAGGTAACTATTTCAAACTAGTTCAGCTATAGAAATTTTCTTTTGGAATAGACTAATATAGGTATTTTAGATACTGTCAAGTCTAAATCTAAGAAACTTAATTTGCGAGATAAATTTCCACCACTAATCAACACCATATGGTGTTAGGACATTAATATAAAAGAAGACACTGAGGAGTTGCCTCAGATTGTTTACATCATTGTCCCAAGAGAGAAGTGACTCATGACGCACAAGGACGATATGTATTGAAATTAACAGGGAATATTGTTGCAGTAATAGTTATTTAGTTTCATAAAAGACATTGACAATGATCATCACATTTTCACAAACTTGCTTAAATGCCAATCAACTTTAGGACAGTTTTACCATATAGCTTGAGCAAGTGGCAAAATAAATTTGAGAATACCTTTAGAAAAAGGTAGATATAACCCCGAAACAGCTGCTGTGGACTCTATGCATTGGCACTATATTAGTAGTCTGGGCAGACAACAATCACAAATTGGAAATAATATAGTAATGATAAATCATCAACCTAATTGAAGAAGGCATTTTACATAGGCCTACATTTAGCACCACTGAGGATTCAGGATAACAAATCGCCTATTTAGAATAATCTTAAAAAACCCTTCCTAAAATATTTCATCATAAATAAATTTCATCAAGTAAACAATACTTGATTCACTTTAAAATCTTGATTATTAATAAAATTTATAAATATATAAATAAATTATCTATACTGCTATTTTATGTAGCACACAAAAACAGATTTAACATATGCTTATCTTACCTTGTTCAAACTTGTATCAACGACACTGTTGCAGACTTTAACTAGATCATCACAAATTTCCATCCTAGATATTATAAAGTCAGAAAGCTCGTCATTACTAGATACATCGAATATTCCATCACATGCCAGAACAATGAACTGATCCGTTTCGTGCCTTTCTACCACTGAGATTTCAGGGTCAGGAGAGACAAGTTGTTCTGTGGGACCCTTACTCTCTACATTCTTATATTCATAATCACCCAGTGCTCTAGAAACTGCGAGAGAACCATTTACTCGTTGAATCATCACACTTCCACCAGCATTGAGAATTCTTTCTTTTTCGAGAGGATTATTAGGCTTGTGATCTTCTGTTGAAAAATGAACTTTAGAATCTCTACATAACAATGATCTGGAATCCCCACAATTCACAAAGTAATATTTTTGTGGAGATATTAGCACACATGTTGCAGTAGAACCGCTTCTATCGTTGTCATTTCTAGTCGACGAAATCTCACGCATTTTTAGGTCAAGATTAAGGAATCCATCTCGAATGGCTTCTTTGACATCCTCATCAGGCATTTCTCCACCTTTCTCTCCGTTATTTATAAAATTTTCAAACTTTTTATGCGACAGGACATGTTCAATGAGATGGTGAGATGAATACTCGGCTATTTTAGAGCCAGCATGGCCATCAAATACTGCGAAAAATGACCATTGTGGTAGTGAAGGTAAGCCTACTTTAGCTGAATGACTGTCTTCCATATCCACACGCCATCCTTGCATGGAACTTGTTGCAAACTTGAATGCACTATTTCCTCCCTTTTCATTCTTTTTATCCGTCTTGGGTTTATCCAGAAAAGCTCCCATAATATTCAATTATTTCATTGATAAATCTAATATATTAAATTATATGCTATGAAATTTGAATAGTTTAAAAGAATAAATATTGCTTAATATATAATATAATTTTACATGAACAACAAACAACTCGAGATAAGATCATGTTGAACCTTACAAAATTATTCAAGTTGAAAAAAACCAAAGAATGAATAGAGAGTGTGTTAATCATCGTACATGCACCAGGAAATATATTATGTGTGACGAAGCTTTTTTATTGAGTGGGTTGCTTTATTTTTGTTGTGAAAAAGAAGAATGTGGGACATAAAACTGTTTTAAATGACATATTTATATGCCTTTTTATTCGGAAGGGATGGGAAGGTAAGGGATTTAATGACTACAGTACAACCAATGAAAAAAACTGCTGTGTCATCTTTGGGCATCTTTTATGATAGTCTTACAATCCTGGTTTGATATTGTGTAGTTTTAAGCTTTATACATCACATTTCTGAAATCTGATTTTATGAAATTTAGGTGTGAAAAATCATGGATTCAAATTATTATAAAGAACGGGAAATCTTGAAAATGTTACGACAAATAATTTCATTGATTCGTAAGAGTTGTGGATAGAATTCAACCCTGAGAGATTTACGTTTGGTTTTCCACTATCTCCAAAGAGTATTAGGTTAATAAGGTCATTACAAACCAGTTCAGAGAACCGATATCTTGAGCAAAAGAAAACACATCAGATAAATTCTGTGAATTTCTAGATATGAAGAGTTCGTGTAATGAAAGTTGCATAAGCATTGTTGTTGTAGTAGCTGTGAACCCGTATACAAGAATTACTGTAGTAGTTAACTTATTGTCAGATGATATTGACGAATCATTAAAAACACATAATGGTTTACTTTGTGCCAATGTATTAGTGGTATGCCATTTCTGATCTATGGACTATGTTCTATAATTTATATCCCAAAGGTGCTAATTCGATATAAGAATTCAATATATTAATAAAAGTGTCAATCGCCATAAAATATATATCTTTTCGATTATTCACCTCTTACAGTAATTCTACAAAAAAAATTTTAAGTTTTAAATATAATTTTGACAAAATCAAAGTACTTGTTTTGCGAAATCTTGAACCAAAAACAATACTTTGGCATAACCTTTGAGAGTTTTACAAGAATTGGTATTGAGATTTCTTTACATGGGTCTGTGAATCCCAGTCAAGAAGAGGTCCTTCTAGTACCGAGTGAGAATTTCACAATGTTGTGAAGGGAATTATTTTTTAGTTTATGCCTGTTATATAATGTGTAAAATCTATGCCAGTAGTTCTCAAAATGGGTGTTTTATGTTTTCAAGATTGAGTATAAAAATTTTAGTTATATTCAATCTGAAGTGCAATATTATATGCTTTGTATTATTGCTAATGTCTTAACTGATCTTGATACCTCTCATTGAGATATCTGTAATAAATAGTTGGTAGTGAATTAAATAAGCTACCAGCTTTTTATATTAGCATAATGTGCATATTCCATATACATCTGTACATTGGTCATAATAGACAGTGGCTCGCGCGCTATCATAATCAAACCTCAAAGCTGCACTAGAAACGTACCGGTACGGTACCTTATATCTGTATATTACAGATTTCACATCAATTTCCAGTTATGTCTGTATGTGGCCACTGGGCACAGAACGATAGCACAGAAACTGTACCGTATCTGACTGTATCGCAGTACCTCACTTGCTTAACATGAATTCATATTTTCGTTGAAGTTTTCTGGTTTCAGGGTTCTGTGACTTTTACCTTACCGGTATACCTACAGTTCAGCAGTTATAAGTAGTGGTGGGATTCAAATTTTTTGCCAGCCGGTTCCATCACAAAAATCATTTTTTTCAGTCGGTTCTGTTACAAGAAGTCATGTTTTTTTTTCAGTTATGCTAACTGGTTCGATGATCTCATAAAATTCCGTGAGACGGTTCTATATGTCTATAGAACCGGTGCGAACCGGCTGAATCCCATCACTGGTTATAAGTTATTAACACACACTCAACCATCAACACACAAGTAAATAACGATATTTTACTCTCACGTAAAATGACTGTTTATAATAGATCTTACTTGCGTTTTGACATCTAAATTCCTACTACTGTACTAAAAGCTATGGAAACTCGACTGAAACTCGACCACCATTCTTAGGATCGCTACCGACAGACCAACGGCACATCTTCGAAGAAAAAAATAACGAGTGGGTTTTGATGGTTGCCAGATCCGGATAAAAATTTCCAAACGAGAGTGAAGACATTTGTTGGGAATTGGGATAGGATTTACACATTTATCCCGCGGGAGAGAAGAGGCGTTAAGACGACTTAATCATATTGCGAACCACGGCCTGTTACTCGCCCTGTTACCGTACGCTACCAGTATGGGATTAGTTAGCCAGTTATTTGTTTTTTATTTGAAACATTGTTTTGTGGAAATAACATCTCTCTCTCTCTCAGGCGCATAGACTGAAAAGGAATCCCTAACCGATCAGCGGATAGGGAAACCACCCTATGGCGAGAGATTTTCAGAAATCCTCCTGCACATAATTATCTCCCACTGGATTCGAACCTGCGAACTCACTCGGGGTAATTAGAGGTGCAATGACGAGCGTATTAAAATGCTTAGCGCAGCAGTTCTTAACCGGGAGTAAATTTACCCATGGGGGTGAATTTTGTCATTCTGAGGGGTAAATTTTGTTATTTCGGAAAAAGATTTAGGAAAAACAAAAACCGCAGCTATTTGCTTGTTTTGTTACGAGAAATATTGTGTTATTGGGAGGCTAACTTGCGAGAAATATGTATTAGCCTATTATTGGATAGGCTAATGTCCATTAGCCTAATATTGCGTCACAATGTTGTGGCAAAATCAGCGTTGGAGTGTGGAATGTGAGTTCGACAGTGATTCGTTCGGGGTAAAGTTTAACGGAGTTCTAATTAAACAAGCTTCATAAAAAATGGTAGGTTTTAAGTTGAAAAAACACTCATGGCAATAGAGATTTGATAGGTGTCATTAGAAGGGATCATTAATTAGTAGCACGTTTATGTTCAAAGTTATTTTCAAAAGCTCCGCATGGTAGAAAATATTTGCGCTGTAAGAAAAATTTAATAACGAGATTATAGTCCTGTATTTTGTCTGAATTATATCAAGATTTGATGTAAAGACAAGCTACCGCGGGCAAGCAGCAGTTGTTTTTATAAGCGATACTTCAACACGGCGTAACCTTACAGATGTAATGTGTAAATTTTTTGGCTGGGAAGCTGGGATAGTCCTCGTATCGTCAACGGTACTCCGATAGGCCCACAGGTACTGGTAAATTACCATGCAAGATTTTCAGGGAATTATTGATGGAATATTTCGTTCTGCTCTCCGTGCCAATATATTTGAGCATAGCTCTCTTATTATCAGTAGCCCTATATTTCAACCGAAATTTTTTGAGCTCTTTGTTATTTCACCAGACATTGAAGATCTGATTGCCCAAAAACAAGAGCAGCCATCGCAATAAATCTGATTGTTTTTCCTGAAAGCAGCTTCCTGGCCAAGCCTCTCTGTTCATTCTTGAGGTAATTCTTTGTTAATAAAGGTTTTTAACTCAAAATTTAAAAAAAAAAAAGCTAGCTTTCAAGATCAAAATTTCGTGAATTTCTCCGCTATCTTCTTCCCACCTATTCCCCCTCTATCAGACCCCCACTCCACTCTCCCCCAATATTCCCCTCCATTCTTACCTTCTTCCGCCACTGTCCCACCCCAACACTCTCTCCTTCCTCTCAATTTCTACCTTCCCCCTTCACTCTTCCACCTCAACACTCACTCCTTCCCATTTCCATTCGTACCTCCTTCCGCCACTCTTCCACCCCAACCCTCTCTCCCCCACCGCTCTTTCTTCACCGAACCCAACTTTCGCGGAGAAAATGGTGTAAGAGAAAGAAGGTAAAAAGAAAAGAGAGAGATAGAGAGACTTCGCGTCTAAAGTTAGAGCTCTTCATACTTCGCTTCACGAGTTATTATTAAATTATCACCAATGGCTATATTGGGGGTAAATCTTGTAATCCTATTCGCTAAAGGGGTAAATGATGCAAACAAAGTTGAGAACCACTGGCTTAGCGCGATACGTCACGCCACCACTGCTACTATTGCTTGATTTCTGGTTGAGTGAAAAATGTTGAAGTTCAGAATGAACGGGCAAATAACAAATAAATCAACGCTGATGTAGGAAATGAAATAAAACAAGTTCGCTCAAAAGCTGGGGGAACTATGTGGCATTTTCTATAGTTTTTCATTTTTTTTTTCATGCGCTAGATTGCAGATAAAATTACTAATATTGCACCTCTTGAAATGGAGGAATAGTGCTAGAGCATTTTTTACAGATACATAAACTTCGCAATTTTTTAGTTATGGATTTCTAGCAGATGTACAAATCCATCCTGACGACGAAAAGCTGCAAATCACTATACGACCTTCGCCTATGATTGCTGTGTATTCTAGAACTCTATTTGCAAAACTTGAATTGAATGCAGGGAAGAATTTGTTGCCGAGCCCCAACTAAATAGGTTTATCCCATATTGAAATCGCCAATGAAATACCCTTAAAATTAACCAACTTTGGTGGGACAATGCCTGGTTTATGGATAGGGGTGGAGTAATGTCTGGCGGGTTTGCGGGAGCTGGAGCGGGCCTGTGTTCATTCCGGCGGAGGCGGTGAGTGTGTGCGTGGATCCTGGACGGTGGTGGACTGTGGATCATTTCGTTCGGGTGAACTTGGTGTGGGCGGACGATGATGTCTAGTGATGGAGGGACTGTTTGTGTTCCAGGTTGCGCGGAGGTTGGGAAATGGAGTTGTCCCCCCTGTGTGTACAACAATGTTTTTTTTTATGAGTGGGCTTTCGGGTGATGGTGGTGGCTCGATGTGCAGACGGTCGTTGAGGCTGGCTGGACTTTTGTGACCGGTTTTCAGAAAAGGGATTGAGTGTATTTACTTCAGTGGTGAAGCCCTGAAGTGTTAAAATCTCATGGTGTGTGGTCAATATGAACCAGTAATGGTTGCATATTGGAACGGGAGTAAATCCAGGAGGGGAACATTTCCCCCCCGCTTGCTGAGATGACGAACGTATAGATACAGAAGGAAAACTATTTGAGTTATATTTTTGCTGGCTGTGTTTGAAGGCGACTTAACAGACTCGAGAGATTGCGACTGTGATTGAATTTTTCGTGTTATAGTGTTTGTTCCATTTCATTCGTGATAACTTTGATTTTCTTTTACTTATGCTGCCCTGTTTGAACTTCTCAGGTAAATATGCCTCTAGTTTGAAGGAAGGTGGGGTACATACATTTTTGAAAATTGGATATTTGAGGTCTTTTGAATTTAAATTAGTGCAGTTTCCATATCTGTTTCACATTTTTTTTTGGAATAAAACTTGTTGAGTTCCATTCTGAACAAGGAAGGGGCTCTGTCACGGAATAAAGTGTCCGTGTTTTATTGTGTGTACCTATATATATATTTTTAAGTTTATAACTACACTACATTAAGAGAAAAAAGATCTCTTTTCTCCGGCCGCCGGGCTGGAGTTCGGTCGTGTTTTTAGTTCCTTAGTGATATAATCTGTTATGCTGTTTTGAGTTTGATATTGGAGTTGCCGTACGATAAACAACCAATCCGGAATCCTTGAGTCTTCTGATTCATCTACAACCACGGCAGCAACATCTTCGTCCGTGACAATGGCGAGCACGCCAGGATATGAACATCTTTGTACTTTTACGTTTTTTACCTTTATTGGACATGGTAGTGGACATAGCGATCGTTTTAATATTATGTTGTTGTTCTTGTTAATTTTCGTCTTCATCATTATAAAACCGTTTTCCTGTTCGAATACTTGACCAATTGCTTTGAAATTTTCAGTGGTTAAAGATTGATTTTTTTGCCAGAGGGCTATTACTTTTATTTTTTCCCAAATTTTCTATGAATCCTATGATATCTAATATTTCATCCAAAATTTCACTGTATTACTTTTCAATTATGGGAACACGGATTTTAATCTGCCAAGCGTGACGGCTTATTCCGAAAATTCTCGCTACTCGAAACTCGAAACGAAAGTTTTTTGAGGTTACCGACCGGTAATGCTAAATGTGGGGTGGACAGGCCAGGGTAGACTACCGCAGTACTGCTTCGCTTGCTGTTGATATATTTGTAGACTGCGATATCCGCTGTTATAACACCGTAGTAACTGACGGCAGATTCTGAAAATTCTCGCTACTCGAAACTAGGAAGTTTTGGTGGTGCTAAATGTGAGGTAGACTACTGAAGTACTTCTGTCGCGGACTAGAGTGTCCGTGTTTATATTGTGTGTATAGTATATATATATATTTTATGTTTATAGACTGTTATGTTGACTGTTATTTAATGCTGTTTTGTCGGATTTGGACTCCGACTACTCACTACATGAGGGACAAAACTGTCTTTCGATCTTTTTTTCTCCGGTCGCTGCGCTGGCGGCCGGACGCGTTTTCAGTTCTTTGGTGATGTAATCTGTTATGCTGTTTTCAGTTTGATATTGGAGATGCCGTACAATAAACAACCAATCCGGAATCCTCGAGTCTTCTGATTCATCTACAACCACGGTAGCAATAGCATCGTCTGTGACAATGGCGAGAACGCCAGGATTTGATCAACATCTTGTTGCCGTGACACTGCTTCGCCTAGTGTTGATATATTTGTGGACTGCGGTATTTGCTGTTGTAATACCGTAGTAACTAGAATCAGTTGGAATTTCAATTCACTTTGAAACAGAATTGTCAGGACCTGTGAAATCCGTGTACCAGTCTAGCTGTCTCACAAACGATGGGCGTATGGCACGTCTTGTCTCTATACTTGCGGTTTTTAGCTAAAAAAAAAAAAAACTCTCTAATACTTCTGTAGAAATTTGTTCCTTCGGTAGATCGATTTATTTTTTCCCCGGGGAATTCATTTGTGACGTTTTTAGATTGCGCTTTTTTTAGGTTTTTTGCGCGGTGCCGGTTTGCCAATATGGAAGTCCGAACTGTCTCGCAAAAGCAGGGTTTGCAGTCCCCGTTATAAAAAATGTGGAATTGAAAAACTGTGCCGTACTGGGTAAGTCACCGTAACGTAGCTATGTAGCTGCTTCAGTGTTCAGTTTTGTTCAGGATACCCTATGGATTTCGGTGAATTGATGGTATAATATTTCGTTTTGTCCCACGTGTCCATATATTTGAGCATAGCTCTCTTGCTATAAGTTATGCTCGCTTGCAGGTATCTATGCATTTTGTTTATTTGTCTACTTTTTGTGCTATTTTGTTTTTATGTCAGAGTACCGAAATAAATGATTGGTTACTTGTTTGTTTGTCTACTTTTTGTGCTATTTTGTTTTTATGTCAGAGTACCGAAATAAATGATTGGTTACTTGATGGATTGACATCCTAAAAAATTGCAACAGAACCTAATAATTGCCTGTCCACAACGAACGTGCATTTTGCGAGTATTCTCGAAGCTTAATTTATCTGCGACCAACAATATTGTGATCGAAGTCTTCAACACCAATCTTGCTTAGATAGAAAAGGCCACAGGCGCATATAACATCTCGTCACTTCTCATAAAGAAGATTGCTGACATAATCCGATACTGTTAGTCATAGCATAGGCTTACTCCTTGTTTGTGTGTCAAACGGATCAGAAGATACGCAAATGAGCAGATCAATCCGCCTCGGAGAAATTTAAAATTACCAGGACAGGACAACTTCATATTATTTTCCGATTAATCCGGTATCGTCAGCAAGAGGCAAATGAGTTAGTGGCACGAGGGGGATCGTTAACAAAAAGTATAAACATTACTGGGCCGGTTATTCACCCTTGCGGGATTTCACAGTGTACAGTTTCAAGTTCAGAACAATGTGATCCTACTTTGACGCGGGAAGTACACATCAATGAAGTGGGAAAAAAATTTCACGTTTAGTAGCAAACTTCAACATTAAACAGACAGAAATACACTGAAGATTTATTATTCGCTGTTTTAAACATATTTTCAATATGCAGTTCTTGCTTGGGGATCAGCTTCCAAGTAGAAACTAAATCCTATAGTTTTACAGAATGGGACTGTTAAAATTCTTCATAGGCCTACCGCTCGTATTTAACATGAATACCATGTACTATAAATCTTGTATCCTCAAGTATACTGGCATTTATCAACTGGAAATTTGTAAATTGATGCAACAAATTTATAATTCTTGCCTTCCGAAAGCATTCAATAACTACTTTGCCAAACAAAGCAGTGTCTACAATTACAACACTAGATCAGCATCAACATCATCATTCCATGTACTTCCCAGACTTACGCTGACACTCAAAATTCATTCAATTATAAGGGAGGGTGTAATTATGTGGAATGCCCTCCGTGGAGAAACACGAAGCATGTGATATCAACTTTCCAAATGAAAAATAATTTATTACTACTGACCTATTCAATATTGTATATGTTTGACAATTGATATATTATGTAATTATTATATTACTGGTTTCTCAATTTCACATTACTCGTCTCTTTTTATGACGAATGATTATTATTTTATTTTTCGTCCATTAATCATTTGTTTTTACCTAGTTCAACTCTAAAATCCACGCATTACCCTGAGCAATGACATATGTTATATATAGGTTCAAGAGCAACTGACCCAATGTCCATACGGCCTTCTATCATAAAATATGGTTTCCAACGCCCAGCCAACTCCTTCCCTGAATCTAATTGAAAGGAAGAGTTAGCAACTTGGCTATTTCCATCAATTTACACATGCAGTTTAGCATTTCTGAATTTTGTTTGCCTGGCCAATTGGGGAATCGCCACAAGTTATCTGGTGGGTTCGATTATAGATGTTGCCATGTAGCATTTATGTTTTGATGGTCGTCTCATATAATTCCTGTGTATAGTGGATGTTGGTGGTGGTTCAGCTGCCGAAGCCATTCTTAACAATGATAATATTATTTTAAAAAATTAATTTCCGACCTTACAAATTTAATTAGATATTGAACATTGGGTGTCGCTACTCAGTAAACAGTTTTGGTTTCCGCGACTCCCCTTCCCGTTAAGCGACTAAAATTGCAAATCTTCTTTGAAAAAAGATTTTCATTTGAATTTTATCCGCTAAAATAGTATTAGGCGCAGGAATTACATATATTATAGTTAGATATGGGAGGGGAATCGCTGATGTTATTCATGAAATCTAAAGATATTAGAACTAGAAAATGTGACAACGACAACGCAGTGTGAGCAAGTTACCCAACAAAGTCCGCGTTAAGAGGAGGTTTTATTTGTAATTGCACAAATCAAGTCGTAGTCATCTTCCTATGAAATAATAAGTGTGACGCACGGCAAAAACCTTTTCGGCTAGGCTACATCTAACAACGTATACATCACCTAAATTTGTAGTTCATGCACGAAGTCAATTAAAAAACTACAGCTTCAGTTTCAATTTGTTTTGAATCCATGCATGTCTCCTGGTACCGGCAGTGAAAGCACAGGCCAACCTTACAGATAGGGATGGCGGAATCGAATCCGGATTCGATTCTTCGGGGAATCGACTAGAATCGATTCCATTCCACTGCTTTACTGCGATGTTGAGTTGCTACGACGTCGCAAATTTCACTATATATATACGGTATATATATTTCGCGATTTAGTCTCCTGTGACAGATTGAATACCTATACTACTTAGTTTCGGCCTTCCTGTCCGTCCATATATTCGAACATCGCTCTCTTGTTTGATTTCATATGGTATTGCTTAGCTGTGCATGTTTTCTCGGAAAGATATGTCGTGGAATTGAGATTCGGAATCGAAAATTTAGGAATCGGATAAGAATCGAATACTCGAAAGTAATCATATTTAGCATCCTTACTTACAGAAGCAAAACAATAGCGCACCCGAGTAGACTTACTCTCGTTAAAGTCCATAGATACATTGCAGTGTGAATATATATATGTATATATTTTCATATTTTATTAAATAACATTGACAACATTGAATACAGTTGCTACTGGTATAATATGGGGTAGCCTACACGAGACGACTCATCCTAATTTTGATTTTAGCACAGTATACATTCACCAAATCCCACATGATGATATCACCTTTCAAAAGTGTCATCCATAATATTTCGGAAATGCAATGTTTTTACGTGAATATTGTTACTTGGATAATCGTTGGCAATGAAAAGAACATTTGTCCAAATGAACATATCGTAGAAGCAATTCAAAATGCACCCTGCGCCAATTCAAGTTTATCCGAAATTAACCGAGCACAGTTTGTAATAAAATATTAAAAGTTATAAAGACGCCATGTTTATGAAATGACTCCCATTTCTTTTCCAACTTCAACAAAAGCTTCGACAGCTCTATCGACGTCTTCGTTGCTGTGTGATGCTGATATCTGAACACGTATCCTTGCTTTGCCAACTGGAACTACTGGATAACTGAATCCAATGACATATATGCCTGTGAAATAACATACCGATAAATGTTTAAAAAGTTTGCTGTTTCCATATTTTATTTTTTCATATTGTTTTGATTTATGCTGGAATTTCGAAAAATTCAATTCTAAATATAAAATACAGGATTGCTGCGAACAGCAGCAATTTTGAACAGCTAGACTCAAAATTCAACCAACCTTTTTGTAATAGTTTTTCAGCCATTCCAGAAGCTAGCTTAGCATCTTCGAGAAAAACGGGACATATTGGATGATTGTTTCCTAAGATTTTGAACCCAGCTTTTACCATTTGACCTCGAAATCTGAAGCAAAACGATATTATTTTTGATAATTTTTGATACATTATTAATGCTGTCATAGCATTGTACTATTTGTGTTAGCTACTTCTAATCGGTTTGCATTTTTACACAAATAAAACTTCCATTCTTCTCACCTCTCAGTTTTTAAGCTTATGTTCTCAACTAGCCCCACTACTTTTCGTCAAAATGTCGAATACCCTACTTGCGCAGCCAACCACTGGAGGTGGTAAACTGTTTGAAAAAAGATAAGGACGAGATCGATTCCGAAGCAAATCGATGATAGGTTTTGGGCCAGTAGTGTATCCTCCTGAAAAAATATTGTACTGGCATTAATGATTTTTGTAGATTTTAACAGCAATGTACAAAATTATTCATCAATTACTAAATCCCAAGACCAAATCTGAAGGGAAAGATTCCAGTGTATTCAGATAATTGACATCAATCACTATATGTTAAGCTTAGTATTAGACTAATATGTCATGAAAAACGTATATTGTATATTGCGTTTTGACTAACTTATTTCAGTCGTCTTGTCTTTCTTATTAACCTAATTAAAATTGTTCACAATCTTTGCTATGAGTAAATTTATTCAAGTATTGCTACATGCTGATTTTTGAATTTCAAAGCGTATGCTTTGTGTTTTCACACCGTAGTTAATGCTGCAACATACTCATATGACTACGAAATAAGTATTGTAGTCTTACCCGCTGCACCTCCCAATGCCTTGCCCAGAGTTGAGTTAATGATGGCCACACGACTCTGGACACCAAGCAGTTCATCTGTTCCTCTACATAGAAAAAATGGGCAAATATGACGCGTTGTTGCTGACTATACCTGTTAGGGCTTCCACTTTGAACAATATTGTGGTGATGTGTAAGGGGTTTTACAAACCTTCCAGTTTTGCCCAGAAATCCAGTAGCGTGGCATTCATCAATGAATACAAATGCCTTGTACTTTTCTGCAAGATCACATATGTCGCGAAGCGGTGCAACATCTCCGTCCATACTGAATACACCATCAGTTGCTATCATTCTATGGCGACATTTCTAAAGTCAAAAATGGTCTTCAATATTAGGATTATAATATAAGTGAGTTGTAATGCATTCACACATAATCACTTGCGCTTTTTCTGCGAATTACTACTCCTAGCTGTATACAATTATTATAGTGTAACCCAGCGGTTCCCAAACTTCTTGTCCACGCGGCGTCAAATTATCAGAAAATAAACTCATGGTGCACTTGCACGGAAAAAAATGCTGCCTTTCACTAAAACTCAATTTTGTGATTGTTAATGTGTACTTCAAAGCTTTTTGAAGTTTGTAAACTTGTAGGCCTAAAGGGAAATGTCAACTCTTTTTCTTCACTTCTTCCTGATTTTCGAAAACCGCTTATGTAACCTACGAAAGTGAGATTAAATTCTACCGAGAGAAACGTGTATTGATTCTTCAATACTATAACTGATCATTGTGATATGAATGCATATTATGATTTTCTGTATATATTAAGTATGGTTGCATTGTGGGAAAATGCCTAACCACCATGCAATGCCTGCAAAAAACATTAAATGCAGAGATAGAATAGCAACCATATTTAGTTTTCTTGCCTGTGCATCAATCAGTTTTTCCTCAAGATCTCTCATATCCAAATGTTTATATCTATATTTATTTGCTTTACAAAGTCGAATTCCGTCGATGATAGATGCGTGATTTAGTTCATCAGACAATATTGCGTCCTCCTGTAGAGAATAAGTATGATCAAATGTATTCAGATAACTATTTTATTTAGATACACTAGCTCAAAGTAGCTTACTATCCTATATAGATATATGTTGGGGCTCCCGAAGTATGCGAACCAAGATGGCGGACAGTCAGATACCGGAAATAATGACTCATTGATGTGAAACTGATTGACCGGTCATTAAGGAAAATATAACTCCATATGCCTATCTGCTGCACGACCCGTAAACAGTAAATTAGCGAATTTATGATAACCATAATAGGATCTAACCAATGCTTTAACAGGGGACGACTATGAAGAAACAATGAATACGGTGACCTTAGCCCAGGAAGGAGTGTTTCAGAATGATCCGAAGGAATGTATAGAATTTCTGAGGAAACATCGCCTGTTAGCAGATCACATGGTTTGTCCGAATTGTAATGAAGAAATGCGTGAAGAAAGGTTCAGAAGCCGCAATAAGATAGAGTACAGATGGAGATGCAAAAAGACGGTATGTCGAACCATAATAACGATTCGGAAGAACTCTATTTTTGAAGGGAGTAAGGCCAATTTAAGAGACCTAGTATTACTAATGTATTATTGGGCAAACGAATTCGATCAAGAACGGATTTCAAATGAAACAGGATTGTCAGACAGGACAATTGCGGAATGGGAAAAGCTTTTGAGGGGAGTGTGTTCTAGGGACTTGGACATGAAGGGTCGACTCATAGGAGGTATTGGAAGAACGGTATCCATCGATGAGACGCAGATAGTAAGAAGAAATGCTTCAAGTAACCGCGGGAGCAGACCGGTGAAGGCCTTGTGGTTGCTGGGTGGCGTAGAAAGTTCCTCAAAGAAGTTATTCCTAGAACTGGTTCCCGAAGAGACGGGGCGCACGGCTCCAACCATGCTAAGACTTATAGCCAAAAATGTAGCGAGGGGGACCCGCATATGGACAGATCAATTTCCCTCCTATAATAAACTAGAGCAAATGGGGATGGGATACATTCATGAAACAGTAAATCATAGCATAGAGTATGTTTCCCCTATGGGTGTTCACACGAACGAAATTGAGAGTTTGTGGGGTGAAATTAAAAAGAGGTTTAGAGCCATGAACGGGGTAGCCAGGCATATGGTCCAGAGCTATTTGGACGAATGGGTTTGGAAAAGGCAATTTACAAAATCGAGATATTTTTCTGAAATATTGAGAGCAATAGCTAACAATCCCCTTTATAAAATTGATTAGACAATATTTTTTGTTTCTTTTTTTTACTTGTGAATTCTTATGTATATTTTGATTATAAATGTTGTGTTATTAACAATTGTGCATATTTCAATAATTAATGTATTCACAGGCTACAAGTAATAATTAATAGGAATAAGTAACTAAAATGGCAGAAGGTGACAGTGCCTACTCATGTGTAATGTTCGTGCCTACCCGACCGTGGGAAGGAATCAAACAAGTGGAAGTCTTGAGTTGGATAGATTTCTGCAAGATGATGGAAGAATACAGGCTGAATCCCTACGAGGCGAGGGGTACGAGAGCAGGACGAGTCAGTGATGACGCTGAAAACAATCCGGTGTCCAGCATTCTCGGCAGTATCCCGAACGGAACGTCCTACTCCGCAGGGAGATTGAGTGAAATGACCCAGAATCTTTCCGTCCAAGAGGCGATGCTAAACAACGGAATAAATTCGGGAGAGTGTCCAGAGACTGGCGAAAGTGCGATGGATGCTACCCAATCCGAGATTGGAGCCCTAAGTGAGATAGATATAGCGGACGTGGAAGAGATTCTGGAACAATCTTTAAATGAAGGTAGAGAAAACGAAATTAATGATTATAAATTTGGCGAATGTACCCCGGAACAAATAGAGGCTATGGCTTTTAAACAAGTGAAGATCATGCATGAGAATGGGTGCCTATTAACCGAATTAAGGAAGAAGGAAAGTGAATATAAAAGTTTGTCGTCCAGCGAACGACGGGGATATGATAGGTATGGCCCAGCGATAGATTCTACACATCCCGATTACAATCCTAAGTTAGCGGCAGTATTAAGACTTTCCGATGTCAGTAGTCAAGCGCTGACGTCATCACTGACAAATTGCATCTCACAATTTTACAAACAATTTTCGAAATACGCGTTCGATTGCCTCCCTATGCTTTGTGACAGAATTGAATCCGAGTACCAAAGGAACGGGCTCAGGGATGAAAAAAATTGATCGAGAATATTGGCTATACTATATTTTGTTTTTACAGTAAATAGAAAATAGATCCTAGTAATAAAACTGACTAGTTATTAGAACCAAAGACATATTTGATTGGAAAGTACATGGACCAAGAGCCACCTGTAACTGAACAATGGGCAACCTTTTTCATCTTGGTTTTAAGTGTGACCGCATTAGTGTCGCATTGTATTTTTTCCTGTTATGGATGTGTCAAACGGTCCAAGCAGATGGAACAGTGGGAGGTCTAAAAAAACAGGAACCGTTCGTTAATGGGGTAGCCAGTATAAATGACGGGCGAATAATAGAAACCGACCAGTTAAATATGTCCAACTACCAAAAGATGAAAATTACAGCTTGGCAAGAAATAAATTTAGGAGACTGTTGGAATATATCAAATAAAGAAGTGACCTTTAAAAATGCAGGATTGTTTTACAGCCCTGTATTTGGATATTCTATAGCTAACAAAAAAACCTTTCAAGAACACAAATTCCCGGAGGGAAAATATTGGGAAGATTCAACGGAATTGGAAAGAACCTGTATTTGTACACGTAAAATTGCAACAATCTCTCCTGACCTTATTTTTTCTAATATGGTAAGGAGGGTGGTATATAATAGATTCACCGGACCTAGTTATAGACATGTTTGGAACTGGAACAATAACGGGTACCAACGCAACCCCACTAATAATCGATTAATTACCACCATGACTGTTTATAAAGCAATGGCGATTAAATTATTTCTAACGTATGCTACTGTCGAGGCCGATTGTACGAGTAAGATGGAAACTAACTACTTAGGAGTCGGACAATATGCAACAATAAGGGCTAAGGCATACCTAAAGGTCAAAGAAGGACCATACGATATAGATTGGGCTAACAGTTCGTTCAAAAGTATATGGATTCATGAGAGTAATCGGTTTTTATTTTTATACGTAAGTTGCAGATTCAAAGGAAGAGGCTTAGCTTTCGAGCCATTACAGGGAGATTTTGTTATCCAGGAGGTGGACACGCTTTGGGAACCTCTGGAGCGGAATTTTTCTGATCAATATTTTTACAGGTTGTTTCATCACTTTGATGGCTGGGGTACAATGAGGCTAACGCCCGAGATTGCTTTATCACCGTCGCAGAACATCTGGCCAGTAATATTCGACCCGAGGAAGTACAACCCGCAGATGAGAATGAACTTCACGGATGACTGGGACAAACGAATAAGATGGGTGCGACCAACGACAAACAAGCGCGAGATGTATGATGGGCCAGTACAGTTGGAAACGAATTATCTACCTGATATGGTGAGATTACCGATATATAGAACACATCCGGCCATGAGTAATGAGGATGTCAATTGTAAAAAACGAGTAGCTCGAAATAATGAATGCAAACATCCTGTGGGAGATATTAATGCAAAATTAAGGTTTTGGGAAGAAGTAAATTATGACCCTGCTTCGAATAAAAGTCGTTTCCCGGCCTTACCTTTAGTAATACACGGGAAGGGACATCCAGAATGGAGCGAAACGGATTCATCTAGGGGATCTATGTACGAAACAAGCCTAAACAATAACCGACACAAAAGACAAATATTTGGTATTGCGGCCTTAATATTCTCATCCATAAATTATTCCCGTTCTAAAGCCATGCAGACTGAATTAAATGACAGAATTTCTGAATTAACGTCGCAGCTGAATGTGAGGTTTTCGCGTGACGAACAAGAACTTAAAAAGATAGCTAACAAATTGAATGAATTATCAAGGGCCAATTATATTCAAAGCGAAAGGCTGAATGTGGTAATAATTGACATGATTAAAGAAGAACAGTTAAGACAATCTGAAGTTAATTACTTGGCGGGAGAAATATCAGAATTACAACAAGTGACGTTATCCGAGTTAGATGCCTTTTTACACCAAGTACGGGATATTCGCGCTATGTCACTGGCTGAAATGACCATCGATCAATTAATAATGGGGGTATTGAAGAACGCAACGGCTAAATTGTTATTTGATACAAGTAAAGTCTATTTAGCAAGGATAAGTAGGGGAGTCTTGCATCTGAAGGAATACGCTCAATTAATAGCTAAGGAAAAGGCTCAAGTAAATGAAACCGATAAACAGAATGTGCAGCATGTGGAACAAGCACGAGAAGCTTTGGCGGAATTGGTAAAAAAAGGTGAATTAGCTCGAGAGCTTTGGGTGAATGGGACAAACTCCACTCGGATATTTATTAATACAACGGAATGGAAATATAAAAATATTTCTATAGATCCTATAAACGTAACGATCGGTGATGACCTGTTCCAAGGATTGGGAGTGGTATCTCAAATATTGGCAAATGGGTCCCAGACGATAGGAAGTGTGTTACAAAAGGGCATTTCTACGGTTGGAAGCTTTTTTGGAAATATCCTGGGGTCAGGAATGAGCGCCCTAGCTGCACCACTTTTGAAGATACTAACGCCAATTATTGTTTTTGTTACGGGATTCATAATATTGTGTTGTTTAATACAACATCACCCTAAGTGTACAAAGGCCAAAGCTAAATTACCCAGTTATTTTCAAGTAGGAAATCCATTAGGCGAGCAGATGGTACGTCGAAGAATTAAAAAACACAAGCTGAAAAATATTGTCAAAACGGGAATTGAAGATACGGCTCTGGCGGCTATATAGTATGAATTGAAACTACCCTGTGGAGAAGAAGGGATTATTATATGGATAAATTGAAATTTGGTAATATTTTATGTCAATGATTATGTTCGTAAAGAAAAAAAGAAAAGACATTGTAAGCATGACACTGCGAAAATTGAACTATAAATTTGGCTATAAGGGAGTATCAAAAACGGTTGCTAAAATGTTTTCATGAGAGACGCAGCTAGCCTGTGCTATGTCGATTTAACCATATGGAACAACAATATAGATAGCATCTACATACAACTTATGGACGAATGGACTCTTGTATAAAGACAATATGGACTTATTTTAAAAGAAGGGGATAACAAAATTATTTTAATTTTGTTCGCTACTTACTTCACAGACTTGAAACGCAAATGGACTCTGGTGATGTGTTAAATTTATATTATTTTTTTCTGTGTATAATTTTACTTTAATTTTATGTTTTTGATTTTTGATTTTGACTAAGTAATTTCTTATGGGATTAAGAAAAGTCCTGTTGGAATTTAAGAATTACTTTAAATCTAATTAAGTGTTTTGATTATTATACCTTAGTGTTTATCATGTACTTATAATTTTTTATCGTATTTTTCTAAACTTTTAATTTTTATCGTACTTTCTTGAAACTTGTTTAAAAGTAGGCGAAAAGGAAAAATGGCTTACCAGTATGAAAATAATTGTATTCTGAGTATGTAGAAATTTTATGAGCAAAAATACCAGTATTGCATAAGTTGTTTATAAATTGTTAATTATAAAAATTTGCCTAGTGCTGTAATATTTTAATGTATGATTTAGAGTAAGAAATTATAAAAAATAAGGGCATGACTTGCATATGGAAAATCACTGGGATCGCAGGTATTGCGAAAACAGGAAATTGTTGAGAACCTATAATAATTGTGCTTAAAATAATTTTGATTAGAGGCTCGTATAAACGCAAGTCATTTCCTGAGTATTTCACCATATGGACCTTAGGATCTCATATAAACACAAGTCATTTACTGAGTATTTCACCATATGGACCTTAAGCGTAGAATGTATGATAATTTTAAGTGTATTTTTATTATATCTTTAGTATTATAGTGTATTTGTATTGTATCGTATGTTATATTATTTGTATGAGTTAACCCTAGTAGTTTAGAAAATAGGATGGTATGGTATGGCAAATTTATTGTTAAAATACGCGAAAATAGTTATTCCCGTGAGAAGTTGTAATTGTTATCTTAATGATTGACACTTTATAAATTGAATATTGAATAATACTCCTTTGAATATCTGGACTTATTATCCAGAGCACTCCTGTTGAACTCATGCGAAAGCGCTAGTTAAAGGCATACTAGATTGTTTTATAAAATTGGTTATTGGATT